ACACCTTTCAAATCAGTAGAAAGGAGCTGACCACGCCCACTTTAAAGTTTTGTTTTATCTCAACGGCCGCTTTACCGCATCTATGCCTCAAAACGAGTCTACGATACGAATGAGTGTAACATACAAAGAGTCAAATGAGTTAGTTGAATGAGCTGACTCCTTAAAGTGAGTTGGAGTCATTGAGTCAACTCGTATAAATTTGCTGAGTTACCCACCCTTAACATTAAGCCTAACTAAGCATATTATCGAAAACGTTTGTAATCGGGAAAAACACCCCTGCTTATCATGCAAAGGTAATTTAGAGAGAGTTGAAATTACGATATTGATACCTGCGCCGGGTATATAAAGTTCGGTTTCGCTCGAACTTATACTTCTTTACTTGTTTACATATAAAGTAAATATTTTCGAAAAAAAAACTTTTTGTATGGCAGAGACTGCGTAAAAAAATTGCCAAAAAGCAACGGCAATTCCTAGCTACTTAAAACATGCACTTTATTTTAATAAAATTGATTGGGCTACAAATCTGCAAAAAAATCTTAAAAATTTGATAAAAATGTTGAAAATTTTCATGAAAATTTGCTGAGCTTTCGCGAGTTTTGCACAAAGTTTAGGAATTATATTTTTATGTTTTTTGTTGTAGAATGCACCATATTTTTATACAAAAATTGGCGGAAAAATATTAGAATACAAATTGTTGCATATATTTGCTGTGCCAATAGTTTGTTCCGGCAGTGTATATTCAAATGCAAATACCGCATGCAAAAGGAGCTGGTTTTGGGATTTTTTCGAAAAAATCCGAGGGAGAAAAGGAAGTAATGTGTTTCATATGCTTCACGACCTCTCTGAACAACCATTTAACTAAAATCGATAAGAAAAATCGCAAAAATGAGAGGTACTGCTTTAGCCAGCGTATCAAAAATATTTCGCAATAAAATTTTAATAATAATTTTAGCACACATTTAGCCGAATCTTGCAATCAATGGAAATTCAAACAATAGGCCTACCAATTCCAGGAAGAAGCGGCTAGAAGGTGATGCAGCCGTCGTTATTTTTCAAAGTATGTGTCTAATAATATAGCCTTTAGTGTTGATAACAAAGTTTCA